TCTCTCTTCGGAAACGCTTTTTCATCCTTCTCTGTATGCTTTCCAAACACTATGTCTGCTCAGTAATACAGAGACCAGAACTGCGCCGTATTATCCATATGATGCAGGAATTATTAGGTGTTGAATTGTAGTGTTATTTTGGGATTTCTGATGTTTATACTTGTTTATATAAATCCAGGGAGTCTACTGGCCTTATCAGAACACTTAAGTGCCACTTCCTTAGCTTCACTGTAGTGGACTCGGTGGAAGTGGAGGAGCAGGGAGAGCCTTCCGTTTACCACTCTGGCCTTATCTGTCTAGACAGTACAATAATTGGTACCTAAATTGCGGTTTAGTTTTTCTGATCACACAACCTCAATAAAGACCCTTAGGTCTTCGGGAATTATTTCATGCTCTCTCTCTCTCTCTCTCTCTCTCTCTCTCTCTCTCCTCTCTCTCTCTCTCTCTCTCTCTCTCTCTCTCTCTCTCTCTCTCTCTCTGTCCAATAGCAGAGGTAACTCCCACAAACAGAAGTTCGATGTGTTTTTCTTTGCTTGTATGTGTGTGTGTACTCACCTATTTGTGGTTGCAGGGGTCGATACATAGCTCCTGGCCCCGCCTCTTCACTGAGCGTTACTAGGTTTCTCTCTCACTGCTCCATGAGCTTTATCATACCTTGCCATAAAACTATGTATGATCCCTGCCTCCACTACATTACTTTCCAGACTATTCCACTTCCTGACAACTCAATGACTAAAGAAATACTTCCTAACATCTCTTTGACTCATCTGAGTCTTCAACTTCCAATTGTGACCCCTTGTTTCTGTGTCCCATCTCTGGAACATTCTGTCTCTGTCCACCTTATCTATTCTTCGCAGTATTTTGTATGCCGTTATCATGTCTCCCCTAACCTACCTGTCCTGTGTGTGTGTGTGTGTGTGTGTGTGTATGTGTGTGTGTGTGTGTGTGTGTGTGTGTGTCTAAACTTTTCAGTCATTGCTATCATTCCATAAGACAAGTGTCGGTTTTTTAAGGCAACTTATGACAAGTTTCTTCATGAACTCAAGTTATACCTGACGACAGGAAGGAGTGTATTTATTTATTTATTTATTTAATTATTTGAACATGATACATAGAAGTACAAGGAAATACAATGGTTAAGTGTAACATGCCAAACCCCCTTGTATACAGAGCATTATGGGCAGGCTTAAAATTTACTTAAGATTAACTAAGTAATGATATATTCAGTGGTAAACATTGTTGTGAACAGTTAACAATTAAGCACAAATGAGTATTACAAAGACAGGTCATATGGTTATATACTGTGTTACTGAGCATTCAGTAGAATGGAGTATTCTGTTAGGTAATGTAATTACAAATAACAAAGTTTGATAGGGTCACAGGTTGGACATTTATGAGATACAGTTATTCAGTATTTATTTAGTTGTGGGTGAGTAAGTGATTTTTAAGAAGAGACTTGAATTTATAAACAGTGTTTCTTCTATATTCACAGGTAGTGAATTCCAGATTTTAGGGCCTTTTATGTGCATTGAGTTTTTGCATAGTGTGAGATGGACTCGAGGAACATCAAAGAGTGATCTGTGCCTTGTGTTATGGTCGTGTGTTCTGTTGAGCTTCGCGATGAAATAACTTCTAACTTGAGTGAAAAGTCTTAAAATTGCTTGAAATGTTTATTTGAGCGTTTTGCTCGAGAGCGAAAAGTCGTTATAGGTTGGTTAATTGGGCTTAAATTAGAGCTCTATTCTGATTTCTTAAAGCTCTTGAGTGAAACTCGTTCTCATGCAAGCTCATTCAGATTTAAGTGGTCATTTTGTCAGCACTCTACCTGTGTTAGCTGTGAAATTGTCATTTACGATGTTTCGTCCATGACTGGACTTTACAAAGCCCTGTTACGGACGAAAAAATCATAATAGTGTCCCCTGGAAACACAGGGCTTTCTCACCATCTGCAAATGACCCTTGTCGGTTTAGCTCTTTATTTGATTACATAATAATCACCATATGCAAGCTTACGCCATCTTTCATGTACTCTGTCTTCCAACCACCTGTGCTAAGTCCAAGATACCAGCTGCTTTGCGTTTCAAGGTACCAGCTGCTTTGCGTTTCAAGGTACCAGCTGCTTTGCGTTTCAAGGTACCAGCTGCTTTGCGTTTCAAGGTACCAGCTGCTTTGCGTCATCAAGCCAACGCCATCTTTCCTCCAGTACCATTCCTGCGGCTTCCTGGGCCGGTGTAGTGAGAGACGGAGAAGCTGGTGTAATCTTTGGAAAGATGGCCTCTTGTAAGCTATCCACAGGATGTGGGCAGCGCAGGTGACCAGGCACGGGGATAAGTGATCTTGGTATCTCTAGGATAGGCTATCCATGACCCATCCCTCTCCATCCCGTGTGTGTGTGTGTGTGTGTGTGTGTGTGTGTATGAACTGATATACAATACATTTGAACCAAAGACGGAAGACACAGAAGAAACTTATACTGAGATAACTTTTCACTTTGTGTAGAACTTTATGATTGCTCGATAATTTGATAAATTCCCACACGCAGCGGAACGGTGTTCAAATAAAGAATTTTTTTGCTACTAGTGTCTTCGCCTGTGTATATTGTTAAGAATAAATTCGGTATTAAAAACTGGAAGAAAGCGACGACTTTCTTTTAGTTATTAATTCACAACAAGTGACGAAAACCAGGTGGTCCTCTGAATGCGACCCACAAATGTCGACTCGTTCTCTTTAACCTATTTGTTTCTCCTTGCCCAGAGGTAAGGCGAAAATCCAAAGGTTTACATCTGAGCTACGAGTGAATAGAAAAAAATGGCATTTCATAGAGGTAAAAGGCCAGTTAATTATGAATAGATGCTATAAGTAAGGAATCTCAGGATAAAACTTGAAGATATCACGGTTAATATATCATTCCAGACGTGAAAGACGAGCCAGGAAGCAGTGGCAGCCTTGGGAGCGAGGCTGTGGTCGGCCAGCACACAACACTACTCCTTCCCTAAACTGAACTTTTACATGTAAGGATCTGATCTCTGATTTCATCCCACTGGACGCTCATTTTATGATACCGGAGATCGTCTGGCAAGCTTCGTGTGTGATCCTTACGTTGTGCGGCTTCTCAGGGAGAGAACCACAGTCACTTGCCACCTACACAACCTATGCCTCAGCTGTTATTTAAGCTAATTAGATATAAACACAATTGCAGTTGAGCTCTCATCGAGAAGGCACAGAGTATGCAAATTTCCTCCGAATCGCCATTTCTTCATTACGGCTTATGACATTACAGAAATTAAATATTTGTTATTCTCGGTTACGGTACGTTACGGTTGTGTTAGATTATGTTAAGTTTGGATAGGCGTACGTGTATTGGGATTTTTTTTTTTTTTTTTTTTTGCATAAGCTGAACACTCACGTAATACGAAGAACGGGTCGCTTCCGTCTGGCAGCGGCGCTCATTGTACTGCCTTACGACGTCCTTTTGGGTCTCGCTACGAGACCCAAGATAAGGCATATGTTGTCTACATCGATGACGGAGGTCTCTCATAAAGTGGCCACCCTCTCGTAGATGAACTGTAGAAGTCTGAAGAAGAAGAAGAAAGAAGAAGAAAGAGAAGACGAAGATTAAGAAGAATAAAAGAGAGCTGCTGTAACTCACTGGAGCGGCACGGGCCTCAGCTCACCTTACACTCCGGCGGACCATCGTGGGTTCACCTCCGGGAAGAAAGCTGCGAGAAAGGACCCAAGAATGAAAGCTACACCGATAGCGTGACCGGAAACTGTGTAGTGGTGCGCTCTCAGCGAGGACCCGTTACCACGCTATCGAATTTGATGCAGTGAATGATATGTGATGATCAGGATGATTATTATACCGTTCCCAGTTTGTTTTCGCTGTTATTGTTTTCGTGTGAGTTCGTTTATGACGCGCGCACACACACACACACACACACACACACACACACACACACACACACACACACACACACACACACACACACACACACACACACACACACACACAATAAACACGTGATTGCAAATACATAACAATACTAAAGTGAAAATAGGAAACACCATTTAAGTGTCTTCATGTGTACTCGCCTAGTTGTGGTTTCAGGTGTGTGTGTGTGTGTGTGTGTGTGTGTGTGTGTGTGTGTGTGTGTGCGTAACAAAAGTTTATTAGAAAGAACCCATATGTAAAATTAAACAAAAACACAAGCTATCTATATATTTCTGCCACCAACCCTCGTGAGACCATCAGAAGTCTTACTGAAGCCCAGGTAAGCAGCATCTTAATCTCTATCATGGTCCACCGCCTCAAATACCTCACTGAAAAGAAGACGGAAATTTATTAGGCAGGAACGACCCCTTGTGAACCCGCGTTGAGGCTCATTGAATCAGTCATCATCGTGGCTTCTAATTAAATTTACTCTCAACGATCGTAATAACTGTTCCACTGTTGAGGTCAGGTTGATTAGACGGTATCTTGATAGTAAGAACTCGTTTTCTTCGTAAGAATCCTTCACATCACTGGTGCGTTGCAAGTTTCCAGTGATATGTTGAAAAGGCTATTCAGCGGTTCACTGAATTTTTTCTTATATTCTTCATGTATCGTAGAAAACAGCTCGTCTGAACCTGGGGTAACTATTTTATTTTATTCGACCTAATTCTTTAAAAACTACGTATCTATTTGGTTATTAAAGTACTACATAAATAGCTGTCTTCAGGTCCTCTATGATTATTTACTTCGAGAAGTTTTATCTGTATCTTGTAGTGTGAGGACAAAAAAAAATTGTTGTCACAATAGTGAGGACAAGACGGTCCATTTTATGTCCACTTTTAATAAGATATGACTTAATGCTCTAGAAAGGGCGAAACGTTGTCCCAGTAAAACCTCTGCAACGTGTATCTTTTCTTTACTGTTGTCGACAGCTCGACATTTTGGATCTAGTAGTATCAGTAGTGACTTGCTCAAAACATGACCTTTCACCTCTGCCTCTCCTCCGTCAGGCTGCCCGTCGCCCTCTTCGCCAGACGGTTGTCTGAAGATGAAGAAGCAACGGAAGGCGCGGACGGCGTTCTCCGACAACCAGCTGCAGACGCTGGAGAAGAGTTTTGAACGTCAGAAGTACCTGAGTGTGCAGGATCGCATGGAACTGGCAGCCAAGCTCAACCTTACGGACACCCAGGTCAAGACTTGGTACCAGAACAGACGGTGAGTGTTGTCAGGTCAAGACCTGGTACCAGAACGGACGGTGAGTGTTGTCAGGTCAAGACCTGGTACCAGAACGGACGGTGAGTGTTGCTAGGTCAAGACCTGGTACCAGAACGGACGGTGAGTGTTGTCAGGTCAAGACCTGGTACCAGAACGGACGGTGAGTGTTGCCAGGTCAAGACCTGGTACCAGAACGGACGGTGAGTGTTGTCAAGTCAAGACCTGGTACCAGGAGAGACGGTGAGTGTTGTCAGGTTACCACAAAAACCAAAAGTGACAGTGAGTATTCCCTAGCAAAAACCTTATTCCAAAACATCATTCCTAGGCCAAGACCTGGTACAAGAACAGAGTTCAAAGCTTAAAATTAAGACCTGGTACAAGCGTAGACGATAAGTGTTCTCAGGTAAAGACCTATTACCAGAACAGTCTTCCCAGGTGAAGACTTGGTAGGAGAAAATTTTCACTCGTAAATCATCGCTACCGCATAAAACAAAATTTACAAGACCCCCGAAAAAAAAGAACATTCGAGTGTAAAATAATCGGGGCGTACAATTTTGTGTAACAAAAGCCACTGGTTTCATTTCGCTGTTGTTAATCACTGAGGTAATTGTTACATCCATGCGTTGTTAAGAGAAGAAAATCAACCTCCTCGGCTTGTAGAATCGGTAATTTAGCCCAAAATTCAGACTCTTAGTCACTCGTAATGGACGGCCTTTGGTATCCGGGATATCTTATTGATTGTTGGGAGCGGTGCGTAGGAAGGTGGTGGCTGTAAACTATATTTAGACGATGCATAAAGCAGGCACTAATGGCTTGTTGGATCAGATAGCAGGAGGAGAAAGTATAGGAGTTCTTGATTTAATTTTATCAATAGTGTTTTGTCCGGGTTGGTGAGTGTAGAGACGGACGGGAAATCTAGAGACTAGCTAGAGACTTTTCTGTACGTGTCCTGAAGACGTAGCTGGAGCCCAGTGATAACTTCTACAGGATGAGGTTCGACGGTACTGTCCCGGCCAGGATCTTGTCCAGTTGGTGACTCGGCGAACTTCTACAATGCATAAATATCCCTTGATGAAGGGAGTTTGTTGTAGCTTTCCTTGCGCTGGCTTAGCTGACGCAGGGCTGACTTGCCGCGGGGTCGAGCCAACTACTCCCTGAGTTGAATACAATCGTTCATTATGATTTTCTCTAATTATTGAAGATTATATTCGGATTCACTGAAAGAAAAAAGACAAGATGTGTGCTCTGATTCGTGGTGGGGGATGACGGGTGAAGGTCTCTGTAAAGAATTGCAGTCTAGGGTCGCAGACTGTGGCTTCTGCTAACATTACCCAAGTTCAGTCTGCGCTAGTTTTGATGTTTTTATGTTCTCGATTCGAGTCCCAAAACTCCCTTAAATAAGCCACTCACACACACACACACACACACACAGACACACACACACACACACACACACACACACACACACACACACACACACACGCACACATACACATACACACACACACACACATATACATACACACACATACACACACACACACACACACACACACACCACAACACACACACACACGCGCACACACACACACACCACCACACACACACACACACACACACACACACACACACACACACATATATATATATATATATATATATATATATATATATATATATATATATAATATATATATATATATATATATATATATAAAGCATAATACACATTTTTCATTAATGACCCAAAAAAGAGATGGTTCACATTTTTCAGAGTTAAGTTACTGTCATCAAACCTTGCTTCTTTTTGTCCTTGTTTTTCTTAAGCTTGTTTTACTTTCTTATTAGCTTTGCGGGTTGGCTCCCTTTTCCTCCTCTTCTTTCTCCCTTTTTAATCGTTTCCATTACTTCATAAACATAACCCATTCCTTGTGAAGTCAAGGTAACAAAATGGCTGAGGGACAGATTACCTCAGTCTCCTAATCTTCACCATTTTTCTTGGTATAGGACTGATGAAGCCACTGTGTGGCGAAACGTTTCCACAATAACGATACCCAAGTGTTGCACATGTGTCTAATTTATCAACAGGAAAACATAGCATGGTTATGTTAACAGTACATGTCATATATATTAGCGTACAAGCACACTGTTTGTGCTCCCACAAAGGAATTATCAGGTAGAGGATAGCCGCATACTTCGTGTGTTCCAGGAAACTGAAGGGAAATAATCGCTGAACAGAATTCTGCTGTCAAGCCTGTTTATCGTCGATTATCAGGAATATTTCTCTTCATTTCTGACAGCGCTGCTGTTTGAATGGAAGGTTCTTACGTAATCATACGTATTTATATAATATATATAATATATATATATATATATATATATAATATATATATATATATATAATTATATATATATATATATATATAATCACTCAAGTAGACAAATATCACACTTTCATTAAACATTTCTTTCCATCTTCCAGAGGACAGAGGATCGAGCCTCCATCACTCCTTGTAGTGTATGACTTACACGAAGCTGGTGCTGCATGTGAGAAATAATAATAGTACAGACAGATGAATGAGAGATTTCTTGAACGAATAGTGCTTACGTAAGTGTGAGTCATGGGTTTTAAACGTTGCAGCGAGGAGGAGACTGAAGTCAGTAAAGAGGTCATGTTTGAGAGGTCTGTGTGGTGTGAATATTGTGCAGAGAGTTCAAAGAAGTGAAACTAGAAAACTGTGTGTAGTTATAAAGGTATTCAGAGAGCAAAGTACGTAGTATGATGTGGACATTTAGAGAGGATGGAGCAACGTGGGATGATAAAGAGGGCATTAATCTGTGATGGAAGGGAAAAAAGAAATTGCCGTCTAAGGAAGGACTCGAGGAAAAGGAAAGAGGGTAAAGTGGGTTTTAAGCGATAGGAGCTTGAGCGTCCAGCAGTTGTGTGAATTATATGCGTGTAGGCACATGGAAACGCTCAGAAAAACCAGGGTACGGGTAGAGTTTGAACCCCGGGCATGTGAGTCGTAAAACTCCAGGTCAGTGCGTAAGCCACTGGACCAGCTGGCTACAGTAAGCCAGTGGGCCAGCTGGCTACAGTAAGCCACTGGGCCAGCTGGCTACAGTAAGCCACTGGGCCAGCTGGCTATAGTAAGATGCAGTTTTATGACACACTCCACCATAGGATTAAAACCTCACCTGTTCCATGGCTTTTAATCTTGTTATTACGATTTCGTGATTCATAAAGGCTCTCAGGTTTTATTTCCTAATTTTACTGTGGCATTTTTACGTATACACTAACATATACATACACGTACATACACACACACACACTTAAAGGTAATTACCTTTAAATTTGTTATGGACTTTGCCAATCTTTGCGTCCAATCTGAGTGGAGGGTTTTTTCTGAGTGCCCTGAGGCTGGTGTTGGTCACCCCATCAATTTATGTTCATTCTGCCTTAATGGGACACTAAACCGCACTCAAATAACGCACTTTTGTCTCTTCCTGTAGTGTGCGATTTTGCCAACCATTACAGTTCTTGCCGTTTAGGTCCTTACGGTTTCTGTGTGTGCGTGTGTGTGTCTGTATATTCTCTCTCTCTCTCTGATAACGGTCAGTGGACGGAGGATTGAGCCTTAACCAGTCCCTGCTCTGAGTAACCCAGGCGAGTTCAGCGCGTCAAAAAACAAATCAATATTAAGTATTCAAAGATAGGGCTCTCGGTCAACATCCGGAGGCACAAAGATTCGATTCTTTGGCGATACAAGTCGCAGGAGCAAGTCTGCATACACCTGCTGCTTCTACCAAATTGTATACTGGTACCCGGGAGTTAATCGTTTATTGTGGTTGGTATCCTGGGGTCGGGGTGGTAGTATCCCTCAGAGTTGGGCAGTAAGTTGAGGTAGGATAACGCCTTTTGCCTTGTAAATTCAAGAGTGCTATTTTCGCGCTGATATGATTTTTAAACAGTACCTTGTAGCTAGTCGGCAAGTACCCACTCGCTTATCGTACGGTAGTTAGCGTGTAAATACCACCCTTGCTTATCGCACGGTAGTTAGCGTGTAAGTACCACCCTCGCTTATCGTAAGGTAGTTAGCAAGTAAGTACCTTCGCTTATCGTAAGGCACATAACGTTTAACAACCCTCGCTTATCACAAGATACTTAACGTATTAAGTACACACTTATCGTTAAGGCTAGCGTGTAAAGACTCCCCCACTTATCAAAGTGTGGTTAGCGAGTAAGACCCTCCTGACTCATCAAACGGTAGTTAGCGAGTAAGTGGCTGTCCCCGCTTGCGAGAAACAGAGGAGCGCAGGAGCCTGGGCCAAGTACGGAACTGGGATAATCACATCCTTTATCCAGCTCTAATTTACTCCGAGAAATGTAACAGGTTATAAAACGCGTATAATTTGCCCGAGAGATAAAATAAATGGTACTGGTTCTGGGTTATGGGTTATAATAATATAACTCTTGTATTAAATCATTTATTGTATTCCACAAACTACTTGGATGGTTCGGCGGATTGTGTCATCATTAAAATAATTTATATACACTGAGAGATGTGCATCTCTGTTTATATACACTGAGAGGTGTGTAACTTTGTGTATATACACTGAGAGGTGTGTATCTGTATATATACACTGAGAGGTGTGTATCTGTATATATACACTGAGAGGTGTGTATCTTTGTGTATATAAAATGAGAGATGTGTATCTGTATATATACACTGAGAGGTGTGTATCTTTGTGTATATACACTGAGAGATGTGCATCTCTGTTTATATACACTGAGAGGTGTGTATCTTTGTGTATATACAATGAGAGGTGTGTATCTGTATATATACACTGAGAGGTGTGTATCTTTGTGTATATACATTGAGAAGTGTGCATCTCTGTTTATATATACTGAGAGGTGTGTAACTTAGTGTATATACATTGAGAGGTGTGTATCTCTGTTTATATACACTGAGATGTGTGTATCTTTGTGTATATACACT